GTTATGAGGAAGAATGCAGTTATCAGCTGCAGAAATAGTTTGAATGTCTAGTTTTTATACTACATTAGCACTGTTTTGGTAGCTATTGAAGTTTCTCAAGTATTATATTTCTCCTTTTACTTTGTTTAGGAAATGCTGTAATTGTCAAGCCTTCTGAACTAAGTGAAAATACAGCCAAGCTTTTGGCTAAGCTCATTCCTCAGTACTTAGACAAGGTAAGAATATCTTGAACCTACCTTCTTCATGTCTGCATGTTTTAGGAAACAAATTTACCATTAATAGGAGGAGATCCATTTGCAGGTTCCTTAAGCCTCCAAACAATTGGCTTAGTAAAAGTTCCAAAATAAACTTTGGAATGACTCAGCTCTTGTGGTTATGTAATATGTTTAGGCCAGTGACTTCATAGAAACCTGTGTTATTTACAAGTATTTTCCCTGCCAGTTGGAAATTTGCTTTCCCTAAAAGAAAATTTTAGATGTGTTCATTCAGCGAATGGTTTATTGAGGACTTGCAGGGTTCTGTTTTTGCTGTTGACAGTTTGTTTTGCCTAACAGGTTGCAGGCAGCTTATATGGATAACAACACACTTATTTTAAGAAGAGTCTATTTGTGACATGAAAATTACAGAAAGTGACTCTTAACAGAAGGGCGGGTCCTCAACCAGAGTTAAAATTTAACTTGAGTCAAGGGTTTCTGTACTCTTAGGGATGACTTTTGTGATGCCGCTGTGGAATTCAGTCTGCTCAGTTTTAAAGGACTTTCTACAGCAAGAATTCCTCATTTAGCTTTCATTAAAAGACAGCTTTAAGTGAGCATACATCAATGGTTATTAAAGTTATAAAACATAATGTTTGGGAATGAAACAAAATGTGATTGAAGGAAAGTGTGAAACAATGTATACAAATTTATATGGAAAGCAATGTAAATTTTAAAAACTTTAAAATATGCCTGCAGCTAAACATGTTAATTTATGATAGTCTTGGAACCATCTCTGGCTCTTGGAATAATACTGTTCTCTTTGTTGTCTTTATCACTGCTGCACAGCCCGCAAAACACTTTTATCCAAGTAGTTGTAATTATCTACTTTAGAGGAATGTAGTGGAGGGCAGTCATTGTCATAGATTGAGTACAATCCGGAACCAGAAAATTGAAGTTTAATGTCCTACTTCAATTAGCTTGTTGGGAGATCAGTCAAATATATTCTATAAATCAAGGCATGTGAGAGTTAAAACATGACACCTTTTTGAGTGGTTATGATGTAATGAAAGCTAATTCACCCTTCATAGAGTGAAAGGTAAAGTGGTCTCTATAAGCCAGCTTTCACTTCATGCTCAGACTGAGAGAGTTTTTGAACATCTCCATCCTTGTCATATATTCTCTGTTAGTAATTTTAAAACTATTATTTCCCTAGATTTCCTCTTTTAAAATAGTAAATTACTTTTAAGTGATAAAAGCTATCTGAATATTCCCAATAACAGATGGGGAAACTGAGGCTCCAGGATGTTCACTAATTTGCTTACACAAGCTACTGAATGGCAGAGCCAAGGATCAATCCAGATCTGTTTACTTTGTATGCCACTTAATTCAGCAGACATTCTTTTAATTCCTACCATGGGTAATGCAAACAGCTGATTCTTTCACCTGATAACTGAAAGGTTCACTTAGAGGTACCCGACATCATTTTTCAGGTGATCTACTTCCAAAAAATTAGCCATTGAAAACTATGGGACAAGTCCCAGTCTCACATGGGCATACCATGAGTCAGAGCTGACCCAGTGGAAACTGGTTTTACCATGGACTAAATCCTACACAGAGAGTTTTCAGAGGCCTGTTATTTAGAATGTGGACAGCCAATCATTCTTCCTAGTCTGTCTTAATTTGGATGCTCAGCTGTAGTACAGGATTTGATAGACAAGAATTTTATCCCAAAAGAGCAGATGAAAGACACTTCCCCATTACAGAAGTAACAGATAGATTCAGCATATGTCATGGTCCTGTCCCCCTACCCCAACTCTGCCATCACTGTATGTCATGGTCCTGTATCTTCCCAACTCTGCCAGCATTGTATGTCATGGGCTCACCTGCCCCCAACTCTGCCAGCACTGTATGTCATGGTCCTATATCCCCCTAAATCTGCCAGCACTGTATATCATGGGCCTGAACCCTCCCAACTCTGCCAGCGTTGTATATGATGGGCCCGCATCCCCCCAGCTCTGCCAGCACTGTATGTCATGGTTTCCGTACCTTCCCACCCAACTCTGCCAGCACTGTATGTCATGGTTTCCGTACCTTCCCATCCAACTCTGCCAGCACTGTATGTCATGGGCCCGTACCCTCCCAACTCTGCTAGCATTTTCCTCTGTCCCCTCACCTTGCCGTGCCAGTCCTTACCTCCCCTCTCCCCCAGCTAACCCCTGATATGATAGCCAGGGCCTCTAGTCACTTCTATCCGCTAATTATTTCTCTACTCCCCAATGATGATGGCACCTGAGAGATGGTCTTCTCTGCTCTTGCATAGCAGCTGTCTTGAAAAGAATGGGAGTCCCAGAACTCTTGATTGTGCTCATGAAAAACCTATATTTAGACTAGGAGGCAGTTGTACAAACATCAAGTTGTATAAACACTGCATGGATCAAAATCAAGAAAGGAGTGCATCAAGGTAAAAAGTATCTATGAAAACCCAAGAGCCAACATTGTTCTTAATGGAGAGAGGTTAAAGGCATTCCCTTTAAGAACAGGAACTAGGCAAGGAT